AGGCCAGGTCACCCTTTCAGCCTAGTGAGCTTCCCCTGTGGAGGAGGAGCAGGGAAGGGATCCCCAAGGTCTTGAGGCCTGGAAGGGTGTGTGGGTCGGGCAGCTGGGTGCTGCAGGCTGGGTGGGCCACCTGAGGTACTAGGATATTGAATTTTGGGCCACGCACCCCAGTGCTGCATCCTGAGTCCATTTTATCCCATGCTGGGGACAGCTCTGCACCCAGAATGTCTCACAGCCATGGTGAGATGGGTGCTGGCTGCTCGCATTGGATCATGGCCGTGGCGCTGCCTCCCTCCTGCAGCAGGGAGGGCTTTGCTGCTCTCGCCTGCATTGTTCTCTCCTCCAAGGTAAAGAAGCCAGCGAAGAAGCAGCCCTCGGAGTTGTCAAGGAAACTGAATCAGAAGGAGAAGAGGGGCCGAGCAGAGGAGAAACCACGGAACAAGTCAGCATCTCCCCTCGCCACAGCGGTGCTTTTGTCCTCTGGGGATGGGGCCATCCTCGGCTGCTGCCCAGCCCTCCCCAGGGTGGGGATGGGGCTACCATGGAGCTGTCCCAGGCCAGCTGTGCCCCTGGAGGGGCCAAGCTGTTTCCTCTCTTCTTGTGTCCTAGAGCTGAAGAGGGTGGAGGAGGTGTTGGGGGGCACCAGGCTCAGCTTCCCTGGTGTTTTCCATCTCACAGGGGAAGGTTCTTGGGGGATCACTTTGGGGCTTTGCCTTTCTGCAGTCCTGGGGAGCTGGGGCATGAAGGAGCTGCTGTCTCGGGGCTCCTGTAAGCCGGGAGATGCTGTGAAAGCATGGGAGGAGTGCGGCAGGGCCAAGGGGATGTGGCCATGTGTGCCATCACCTTTGTTAGCCCAGTGGCAAGCAAGTGTTTTCACCTCCATTATTTTACCTCTTCCCTTTTCCTCCCGCAGACCTTTGAAAGTGGAGAGAGGCCGGAAGAAATCTGACCTGATCCCTGAAAGGAGGATGGAGAAGAAAAAGGGTGAGCAAGCCACTGCTTGCTGGCACAGAGGGGAGGAGAAAGAGAGAAGGGATTCAGGGTTGATTCCCCCATCCCGGGGCAGGAGAGGGATCTTTCCCACAGGCCCCTTATCAGCTCTGCTGTGCTACTGACATCGTGTGGGAAAGTATTTACAGGGTGTGCGGAGACAGCTTCCCTGCATACATCCCCTCCTGATCCTGGCACATCCCAACCCATCCTCTTCAGAGAGGCCCCTGGGCCTGTGTTTGACCTTAGAGACAAAGGAGGAAACCAAACCTTTGCCTGGGAGAGAGATCCCAGGCTTAGGGCAGGGCCATGCTCTCCTCTTAATGCTTCCACTTCTCTCTCTGTCCTGTGCTCCAGAGCCCACAGTTGAGGAGAAACTTCAGAAACTTCACAGCGAGATCAAGTTTGCCCTGAAGGTGGATAACCCGGTGAGTCCTGTCCCTGCTCCTCATGTCCTTGTTCCCTCTCTGGCTCCAGGGTGGCATTAGGGCACCGTGCTCCATGTGGTGCTGCCCCAGGTGCCGACATGGAGTCTTCCAGACAGCTTCTGATCTTGGTGCCACCCTTGCAGGACATCAAGCGGTGTCTGAACGCGCTAGAGGAGCTGGGCACACTGCAGGTCACCTCTCACATCCTCCAGAAGCACACTGATGTGGTGGCAACTCTGAAAAAGGTAGGGTGGAGGCCTGAGGCCGTCACTGAGGAGCCTCCTTGGGCCACCCCAGCTCTAAGGGTGTCCCCTCTTCCTTGTGCAGATCCGTCGCTATAAAGCGAACAAGGACGTGATGGAGAAAGCTGCCGAAGTCTACACCCGGTTGAAGTCGCGCGTCCTGGGACCAAAGATGGAGGCAATCCAGAAAGCCAACAAAGCAGGGCCCGAGAAGGACAAGGGGGAGGCAGAGAAGGGCCAGGAGAAGCTGTCGGGAGGGGAGATGCGGAATGAGAAGGGGGAAGAGGAGACGAATGCTGGTAACGCTCCCTGGGTTCCTTGCTTTGTGTGGGCGCGTAGAGATCCCAGGCCCCTTCCTGGGGCACATCCTGTACCCCTGGGGACCAGGAACATGGACAGGGACACAGCACATCCTGCTGGGGACCGGGGACACAGACAGGGTTGGCTCTTGGCCTCGGTGGTGGAGGGGGATCAGCAGCCACTAATGTGGCACCTCCAGTCCCTTTGCTGGAGTGCCCAGGGTGGGAAAGGCCTCGGTACCCATTGCCTGAGGCAGTGAGAGCAGAGGGCAAACCTCACCCGCGCCCTGGCTTTGGGTGCCTCTGGACTGATTTTCAGGCCAGAATGGCTTCTCACTGCCAGCCTGAGGGCTGCCCCGAGGCACCGGAGAGACGAAGGAATGTGGAGCCGCCCTTGGATGCTGGCTCGGGCTCTTGTGCAGGCAGATGGTGACTAGGATCTTCCACCCTCCGGGTCCCTGGTGATGCTGCAAGAGCCTTCCCAGAGGAGCTGGTGGGGAAAATCCGCTCTGACGCCAGCCTCCGGGCTGGGGCATGGAGGATTTGGGGCTCTTCTTGTAGCTAGGCCAGGCCTGGGGTTTCCTTGATGTTGGCTGGGTGTCTCCTACCTGGATGGGGACAAGGTGTGGCTGTGGATCCTGGGCTTGCCCAGCCCCTTGCGGGTCAGGATGGGTGAAGTCTGCCATGAGGAGCTGGGGGTCTGAGTCTTTCTCTTCCCTTTAGATTTGTCAGGTCCTGTTAACGGCGAATCCCTGTCCCAAAAAGCAGAGGGCACGGAGGAGAAGGACAAAAGTCAAGGGTCAGGAGCTGAAGAGCCGGAGGCGTCGGGCGAAGAGACCCACAACAAGTGAGCACGCAAGGGGCAGAGCTGGGGGCTTGCAGCTGGGCTCTCGCAGGGATGATTTTGCGGGGGTTGTGAGTTGTACCAGGCTTTTCCCAGCTTGGGAAGGAGCCTGAGGTGCAGGGGAATGCAGGCGG